CTGGGGGACAGGAGACGTGTTGATGTTATTTTGGTCGCACCCTCTTGAGGTTGGCCTGGTTGAAGTCACAGGCTACAATGAGCAAGGCCTCGGGGTATTCTGCCTCAAGTCTGTTAGCAACGGTGTATGTTTCATCAAGTGCACTCTTCACTTCTGCATGGGGCAGTATGTAAACTGCTGTCAGGATAGCACAGGTAGTAGGGACGGCACTTCTCTGTTAAGTATTCTAGGTCAGTGGTGCAGGAGTGTTTAAACCCACCTATTCAGCCAAACACTTTCAGTTCCGTGAAATTTAATTACTGTGCATTTTATTGAAACTATTGATCTTGAACCCTCAGAACTGTTAGTCATGGTTCACATCAACTGTAGCCTCCTAGACTGCCTTGATCCCTTGTAATTTGCCTATTGGTGCATCAGATCCAAAGTGGACACCATCCCCCTAGGCCTACACTTATCCCTGGAACATCTGGACAATACGGATACCTACATAAGGCTTCTATTTATTGACTACAGCTCCACCTTCAACACTATAATCCCACACCAAGTGATCTCCAAACTCCGTGACCTAGGTCACTGCTTCACCCTCTGCAACTGGATCCTCAGCTTTCTGACTGCAATCTGAGAGGATAGACACTAGCACTACCTGCACTATAATCCTCAACATTGGTGCCCCGCAAGGATGCGTACTCGGACCCTACTGTACACCCATGACTGTGTGACCAAATTTCGTCCCAGTTCCATCTACAAGTTCGCTGATGACGCCACTGTTGTAGGCTGGATATCAAACAATGACGAGGCAATGCAGAAGGAGGTAGTGCTTTGTGTTGTGGTGCAGAGATAACAATCTTTCCCTCAATGTCAGCAAAACTAAAGAGCTGATCATTGACTTCAAGAAGCAAGGAGGATGACACACCTCTGTCCACATCAGCGGAGCTGAGGTAGAGATGGTCGAGAGAGTCACATCCCTAGGAGTGATGATAACCAACAGTCTATCCTTTTCCACCCACATAGGCGCAATGGCCAAGAAAGCACAACAGCGCAGCATGTCCATAAGGACCATCACCAACTTTTATAGATGCACCATAGAAAGTATTCTATTCAGATGCATGATGGCATGGTACGGCAGCTGCTCTGCCCAGGATCGTAAGAATCTACAGAAAGTTTGCGTTGCGTACACAACTATCAGCAAGCCGACCTGCCATCCATGGACTCCATTTATATTTGTTGCTGCAAAAAGGCAGCCAACATCAAGACCTCTTCCAACCCGCTTATAATCTCTTCCAATCTCTTCCAGCAGGCAAAAGATACAAAAGCTTAAACACACATACCAACAGGCTCAAGAACAGCTTCTACCTCGTGCTTATTAGACTGCTGAATGGACCTCTTAAATTTCAAATCTAATGTCGATCTTGCTTTGTACACCACTTGCGCAGCTGTAACCTTGTATACCTCGCTCTGTTCAATCACCCTATGATCTGTATGTATTTGTTTGCTATGATCTGCCTGTACAGCTCGCAGAACAAAACTTAACAATGAATCAAATCAATGCAGTTTGTAAGAAATGCAAAACTAAAGGGAGAACAGCGTTTATATTGAGTTTGCCAACCAAACGTGCACATAGACTCTGGTAGAGGCAGTGCCACTGACAATGCATCACTTGCTGATGATTGACAGTTAACTGGCATATTTATCTAAATTTATTGAAAGTTACTTTGATTGGTCAAGGTGTTACGCTGAGAAATGAACCGCTGAATGCGTCTCACCTATTTGTTGAGTTGAATGGGTGCAGGGTGTGTAAATGTTCTTTCTGCCTGCAGAGTGGGCCCCTTGTATTAATCTGTTGTGACTTCCAATGCGTGGGCTTGCAAGCCTGACTGAATACTCGAGTGCTGTATTACTAAATGATCACCTGAGATTTAATTACTTGCTGTATCCGTGTGGGTCATTGATTAGCATAGTCTGAGAACCTGCGTGTCCACTTTGGCTGCGCGAGCATGCCGTGGGTAGTAACTGGGACTGAGACAATATTTTGGTCACAGTACCACAACCTGTTCACTGACCCCACTGCACCCGTGTAGCCGTCAGCACTTGATTGTTCCAACGTTATTGTTGCTGAGCGTGACCATCAGCTTGACTGGAGCTCCGCTGTCTGCATCCTGACACAGGCTAAGTCTCATTTCCTCATTGCCCACCCCTGCTCATTGATCCACGTCCTCTTGCATTTTGACAGTGTCTTTTTTAAAACTTCCAGATGTGTGCCTCCCTATCTCTGTACTGCGCCACATTCCCTTCCTAAACCTGGAAATAGTAAGAACTGCCAATGCTGGAGTCTGAGATAACATGAGGAGCATCATTTCTGAAGAAGAGTCCCGATCCGAAACATCAGCTTTTCTGCTCCTCTGCTGCCTGGCCTGCTGTGTTCCTCCAGCTCCACACTGTGTTACCCCTTCCTAAACCGCTCTGCTTCTCCCTCTCTCTTTAAAGATGCTCCTTAAAACCGATGCCATTGACCAAGCTATTGATTACACAATATCTCCTTGTGTGCCTGAGCAGCATTTCTGTCTGATTTTTACTCCTGTGAAGCACCTATAAAGGTTTGACTATTGGGAAGTGTTGTGTAAATGCAGTGTTGTTTGGATTAAATGTGTGTTCAATAACACATCCATAAGAAATAGGAGCTGGCCATTTGTCCCCACTGAAATCCATCAGTGCTCAGGATCGTGTGTTTTTTTTTCTCTCTGTGCTTCACGTGTGAGCCAGTTTGGCTTTGAGCTGCACTCACGACTTGGCTGAAGAGTTTTATTTTGGAACAAACTGGACTGAGATACCAAGTGACCGATTACACTGAGCTTTAATTTTCCCCAGGCGACAAAGAAATGTTAAGCCAGAGAATTCTCCCTATCGCGCTCTGCTCAACTCATTGGATGTGACTCGGGAAAGTGTGAAGCTGCAGCTGATTAATGAAGTGAATAAGGTATGTGCGTCGTGTCTGTATGGGGGCTGGGGTGGGAAGTTTATTTCTGCAGTGAGCTATTGTGATCTGGAATGCACAGATTAAAATCATTCATTGGGTGCCTCTGTCAAAGAGCCAACATGAACATAATGGGCTGTATGGTTGTCTCCAGTGCTGTGTTGCAGGTGAATGTTTTAGTTGAAACTCTCTGTGCTGGCTGTTGGGACACGGATCCCACTTCGACCGGAGGGAGCCCAAACCCTGAAGCCAGTTCCGTGTCCCTTTTGTCCAAAAGCCCCATCCCTTTCCTGGCGGGGAATTGGGTACAGCCCCAAATCCCTTCATTCTTCTCAAGGGCATTTCACCTTGGCTTCCCATTCTCGTCGTCAACTTCTCCACCTCCTTCCTAGCCTCCGTCTTGCTGTCGTCGTAAAACAGTGAGCGGAGCTGGGAATGGCAGAAAATCTGAAATGGGACAAATGACAGGCAGTGATGAGAGAAGGGAGCGTGACTGACTGAGAATTACCATGGGTCAAGCCCACTTCCGTTTAACCCTTGCTGTGCTTTTGCTGCTGGAACTGAATGTCACCAAGCATCACATTGTTCCCCAGGACAAGGCAGAGAGGTAGATGAGGGGAGGGGTGGAAATTACTTTGGACCCTGTCTGCCTCTATATCTGTTAGTCACTCCTGCTGGAGTTGTGTAGAGATGTGAATCCTTGCATCTTTTGCAGGTTCCTCTCCTACTTGAAGTGTATGGTCTGCAAGGGAATATGACCAGGATTAAAATAAATGAATTAAATCCACTGAAACCAAGATATGAAGTGCGGGACGTGTTAGTGCAAGAGCCGCCTACTGTACCGTAAGTTGCTGGCCTGTTTGTTTCAGTTCCTTACTCGCCACTATTCAGATACACACACTCCTTTTTGTGAAGCAGTTGCAGGAATTGAGATCTCAATGCTATGCAAGAATATGGATTTTGAACTGACTTTTATTAGTTTGGGGAAATAAATCGACATGGCATCAAATACAGAGTAGTTTTTTTTTAATCCGTAACAAGCACTCCCAAGACGGGGGGCAGCAAGGTGTTAGGTATAGAGTAAAGCTCCCTCTACACTGCCCCTAACAAACACTCCCAGCACAGGCTTAGTTACAGAATAAAGAATTCTCTATTCTTTTAAATTGAAAGTAAAGGTAGATCTACAATCAGACAGTCCTAGAATACAGCATAGGTTTAAGATACAGAGTAAAACTCTCCGTATCCTTTTAAACTTAAATTAAAGCTCCCTCTATACTGTCCCTATCAAACACTCCCAGGACGTGGACAGCAAAGGGTTAGATACAGAATAAAGCCTTTGTTTTGATGTTTTCCCAACTTCCATTCTGGGCCAACTGTCTGGCTTTTTGCTTGAGCACTGTAAAACCAGGTTATTAATAGTTTTTCTTAATAGGACTTTCCTGCATAAAGATAATTGTGTTTTCTGGCTTTCAGCTTAACAGTTGTGGGGAAGGATGAAGACAGTGTGGAACTGAGCTTTGAAAACAAGCTGTATAAAGTGATTATCACCTCCAAACCATTCAGGATGGACATCATGACTGGGAATGAGCTGCTGCTGAGTATCAACTCACGGGGGCTGATGGTTTTTGAGCACTTGCGAAAAAGGAAGGACTCGTGAGTACTCGGCTGCCTCAGTTACAGATTCAAATCCCCAGGGTGTGAAAACTTCACCAAATATTTCCTCATGTTACCCCTCCACTTCCCTGCGCAACCCCGAGTTAACAGAAATGTAGGATGTTTACTTGTAATCTGTTTTATTTCTGCTTCTGTAAGAATATTATTTGACCCAATGGTGTGGAACATGCAGTTATTATCAAGGTCTTTATCTATTTCAGTTATAACTTCCTGAGAGTCTCTTATTGGGTGTCACTGTCCAACTTGTTACCTAACTATTTTACTAACTCCTCCCTTGTTCCCCTCCCAAGTTCAACATCATCCTGACTCAGCACCATATCGTTGTTCCTTCACTGTGGCTGAGTCTGAGTCTGGAATGTCCTCCCGAACAGCACTGTGGCTGTACCTGACAAACATACAAATTAGGAGCAGAGAAAGCTTTTTCAGCGTCTGACCCTGCTCAGCCATTCAATAAGATCATGGTTGATCTGTTTGAATTCCACATTCTCATTTACACCAATAACCTTTGATTATCTTAGCAAGAAACATTCAACAAACCAAACACTGCAGATGCTGGCGATCTGAAACAAAAACAAAGTGCTGGAGAAACTGTGTTAATGCTTCAGTTCTGAAGAAGTCATATCAGACTCAAAGCGTTGACTGTTTCTCTCTCCATGGATGTTGCCAGACCTGCTGAGTTTCTGCAGAACTTTCCATTTTTAAAACCTATCCACTCCTGATTTAAAAATAGTCAATAAGCCCACCTTCTGAGGCAGAGTTCCAAATGCTCAACTCAAGAAAACAAAATCTCTTCTCTGTCCTGAAAGGAGAATCCCTAATTTTAAACTGTACCCGCTAGCCCTGGACTGATCCACATGAGGAAACACCATTTCCAAATCCCACTATTCTGAATCTTGGTCACTTCAATCAAGTTCCTCAAGGGCAGTACAGTGGCTCAGTGGTTAGCACTGCTGCCTCACAGCGCCAGGGTCTTGGGTTCGATTCCACCCTTGGGCGACTGTCTGTGTGGAGTTTGCATGTTCTCTGGGGGCTCCGGTTTCCTCCCACAGTCCAAAGATGTGCAGGTTAGGTTGGATTGGCCATGGAAAATTGCCAAATGTCCAGGGCTGTGTAATTTAGGTGGATTAGCCATGGGAAATGCAGGGTTACAGGGGATGGGTCTGGGTGAGATGCTTTTCAGAGGGTTGGTGTGGACTTGTTGGGCCAAATGGCCACCTTCCACACTGGACAATCTATGATTTCTCTCCTCCCCACCTGCTTCTCAAGTTCAAGCCCAGCCTGCCCAACCTTTCTTTATAATACGAGCCAACTCAGATGTCAATCTTGTAAACCTTCTCTGCACTTTCTCCAATGTGTTCCTTCCTTAAATAAGAGCAAAACTACTCAGTATTTGAGACATGGTTTCACTAATGCCCTGTATATCTGAAGCACAACGTTTTTATTTTATGTTTAGTGCTTCTCGTAATAAAGGACAGTGCCTCATCACCCTAATTACTTACTGCACCTATATCTCATGGGATGCTATGATTCAAGACGACAGGTCACTGCAATCGCTGTAAAGGACCGTTTGGGATGGGCCATAATTGTCAGTGAATGCCTCAATCCTGTGAATGAATTCTGTTTTTAAAATTGCTGTTTTCAGTCTTGTTGCATCATTCGGCCCAACCAATGGGTGCCAGTGTTGACCTGTTAAACAGTCCTGATTACACCCTGTTGCATGTTCCTTTATCCTATGTCCAGTCTCCTCTTAGATGTTGATTGTAGCCTGTAATTCCACGACAATCCTGGGAGTGGATTCTCCTCACGGCCTAAAGAGGACTGTAATCTGTGTTCTTAAGCCTCTTGCGTTTCAGTCCTGTATCCATTTACCCTTGTTTTAGACGCCCACAGTTACTGGGGGAAGTCTGCACTGTGTTGTCCTTTCAACATTTTCAAACACTTAGCATAGCTGCCCTAAGGTTGTTTCTTCAGAATAGGCAGCAGCCTCCTGAGTCTGTTTTTGCAGCTGGCAGTCAGCAAAGGCCTCCCCACCCCCGGCATGAAGCTCACAGTCCATAAGACATAGGAGCAGAAATTAGGCCATTCGGCCCACCGAGTCTGCTCCGCCATTCAATCATGGCTGATAAGTTCCTCAACCCCATTCTCCCGCTTTCTCCCCGTAACCCTTGATAATCAAGAACCTATCTATCCCATCCAGGCATTAGTGCATATGAAATAGGAATGGTTGTAGGCCATTCAGCCTCTCTCCTGTTCTGCTGTTACACAATATCATGGTTGATCTAATTGTGCTGTCAACACCAGACCCCCACCCCTTGTCCATCTACGTTGAATCTATATTCCGTGATCCCGCATCCAGTGCTCTCTGGGAAGGAGAATTCCACAGGCCCACAACCCTCCTGAGTGAAAAAAAATCCTCCCCCTATCCCATTGTAAATGGGAGACCCCTTTTTAAATCATGTCCCCTTATTGTAGTATCTACCATGAGGCGCAATAATCTGTCCGCATCCACCAACCCCTTAAGATTTCCTTTGTCTCATTATAAGCCACTTTCATTTCTTCTAAACTCTGGATACAGATCCAACCTCTCCTCGTAAGAATCTCCTGTTTTGGGTATCAGGAAAGTGTGGCCTTTAAACTGCTAACACGTTTATAGTTTCTTTTAATTAACCTGTTCAGTGATGTTATGGCACACCTTTGAGGCAACTGGGACTTGATCCTGAGCATTCTGACCCTGAGATAGGGGCACTGCCACTGTGCCACAAGATCCACTGCCTAAGGCATTATGTTCTTTCTTAAATAAGCAGTCACCCGTTTATCACCTTGTCTCTGCCTTCAATATTCTCTCGTGATATCGCATTGAGCTTTTGGTCACCTGTCCTAATAGCCCTTGTGCTCAGGGGAGGGTCAGGGATGTGACTGTGCAACACTTTGGGAAGTTTGACATTCTAGAAATACACAATGTTGCTGTTTCCCTTGCATCCCTTTGTTCGCTGTGCAAAAGCAGGGTTGTTCCCTGTGCAATTGATGGATTTTTCTCACCCACCTTTCTCACCCACTTTTCTCTAGGATACCTCTGCTGTTTTGCTGTGTTTTTGAATGTCTTCTGTGTGTGGTTTTGTTATTTGGAAGGGGTCTGCTGGTCTTTTTCTCTTTCAGCTATTACAGTTCTCCCAGTCATGAGATCTATTCAACTCCCACTTGGCCTTTATTCCCAAGTTTGTACTGATGAGAGGCTGCTCTGTGCTGCTGAGCTCAATATTGGTCTCCGATCAGTCAATGACTTCAGCCTGGGGTGTGCAGTAGGCACGACACTCCTGGCTTCCCTGCTGGACAGCTCAGATGTTGCATATGACCCGGAGGGGGCTTGCCTGCAATGTTTGGAGATCCTGCTATCATTAACCATTTGCTGTACTCACTAGGGCCAGGTACCAGAGGACTGCTTTTGCCTGGAGAGCCCTACCTTGCTCTGAGGGAGATCAGCTTCAGTGATCTGTTTAATTGTCCAGCTCTTTGTGAGTAGTTCCCATTACATAGCTCTCCCAATGTGATGGTTTGACCAGTGGTGCTGGAGAATTTTGTACATCCCAATCTCGAGCTCCCCTCCTTTCAACCTCTAGTGTGATGGGCACTGATTAGCTGTGGTGTGCAGGAGACGGGCAGATTTCTTCCCTTGTTGTGTGACTGCTGGAAAAGACTGTATAAGCTCTTGGTGTTTTACTGTCTGAACGACAATTGAAACTCATTTTGTTTTTTTGTTTGTTATTTTATTCCATTTTGTTTCTCCCCACCCTTCCCACCTCTTTGCAACTTCCACCCCGTCAGTTACACGGAAAAAATTAGTAGCACAGTCGGTAGCATGTGGAGTAAAATCAAGAACATGTTCATTAGGTAAATGCTGCACCAACGCTGTCTTTTTAGTCCTGTTTGTGCACCTAATGATACTAATGCTTGGGGATGCAACGATATTAAAGTAGTGTGCAGCTTTGGGAGTTCAGAATCTCTCCGCACACCTCACTGATATGAAAACATAGACCTGATCAATTGATAAAACATTGATTAAAAGGCCCAAATTTCCATTGAGAAGTTAACTGCTGTGGCTGTACGCAATGTTCCCAACTGAGACACACCATTCAGGCTGCCTGCTGTGGTGTTATTAACTGATCACTGTGATCCATCTCTTACCAGAGAATCTATGACAGACCCAGACAGGAGGTGAGGAGGATTCTGTGGTAGAGATGCTCATGAGATACAGAGACCCAAACCCTGTACCTCCATGGCTGTACTAAACTCTCCACCCGTCCCGTCCTCTGCATTATCTGTGCATGCACGCTTTTGTTCTGGTTTAGTGTTTTCAGTGAAGGGGCTGGCAAAACTGAGTTTGGTTTTGAAGTGTTGTCAGTTGGTGCTTGCTCAGTGCAGAATGCCTGCTGTTGGAGGATGAGCACTCAGGTTAACCATGTCTCAGTAGATTCAGTCATCCACATAAAGTCTCACTTGGTAGGAGAAGCTTGCTTGAACACCAGAATGTGTCTTCCAGGGAGGGTGACAAATTCCAGAGGCACTGTCACAGTGTTGTAGCTTCACTCCAGAGCAGGGAATGCCAAGGGCCACATTGCAAACTAATCCAATCTGTCTCTGGTGTTTACTGCAGGCCCTGGGACATTAGCTTTCTCTGTAAATAACCTGGTGTCTGCCTGCTGTAGAAGAGGGTTTTGAGGGAGAACTCTGTTAATTGGGGCAATCCCGAAGAGGCTGTTTGTACCTTGAGAGGTAGTTAGGGTGTGGCAGTGGATTGTGTCAGCTGTAGTCGGCGGGATGGAGTAGGGAGGGCTAGGAGGCGATAATTTTCAGAGATGTAACAGTTCCCAGCCCCGAGTCCTGAGATTCCATAGCATTGCTGCTGGGCGGGGAGATTCAAGTTCCCACCCTCCCTTTGTCCCAACAGCGAGTCAAGTGGTAGGTTCAAAGCATTACCAAACTGAGCACTGCTAACCTGTTACATTGATTTCTCCATCACTACCACCTTCAGTCCATCCCCAACTCTCATATGCTCCTGGAGCTCACTTCTGTGCCTGGTACTGGCCTGCCACCTTCCCCTGCATGCTGTGTGCCTAGAACACGCCTACTAACCCACATGAACTGCACCTGACGGCAGCCTGTCTGCTTGTGCCCCCTCTCTGTATTCACTCTGTGCCTCTGACCTGTGCATGCACGCACCCTCCCGCTCCCTGCTGCATGTTCTCCCTAGCTAACCCGACATAGTTACTGGATGGTGTTGCTGGCAGCAGTGTTGCGGTATTGCATAACACTCTAGCAGGTAAGGAAAGGGGAGCACCAAAATTGTCACTTGGTTCAACTGAACATGAAAGTGGGCTTTAATCTGGAGATCCACTTTGATTGCAGCAATTCCACAACATTTCCAGCCTTTAAAAGGTGTTCCCCCTCTCTGCCACCCCTCTCAGCTCTCGCGTTAGTTTTCACTCCCAGCTCATTCTGCACAATTATTCTGTTTTCTGCTGCTGTTATGTCAGTAGTTAGTTCATTACCGCTTGCTTGTCCGTTTTTATCCTAACTTTTCATCATGCTAATGTCTTCCTTGGGGATAATACACTTCTGTCTGCCCCTTGCTAATCGGTGTTTGCTGCAGGCTGATATACAGCATCAGTTCTGAGGGCTGTGAGCCAGTTTATTGCTTCCCCTGCATTTTCTGTTCACTTGTCTTTGTTCCCCTGCTGTCTCCCCTTGCCCTACTTGCTGATATCTGATGGTGCCCCTCAGTGGGAAATGTACACCTAGCTGGTGAGGGTCAGCAGTAGCCAGCTGTCCTGGTCCCTGGGTAGTGAAAGGGTGGATAGGAGTGCTGGTGATCAGTTCCCTGGTTGGGCTTGTGCTGTAACATCCTTCTGGTGATGTGACAATGGATCAGTCAATGATAAAAAGCTGTCCCTCTTCAATCTTCCTCAATCTGGGCTCTGTTCAGCTGCACTTGGCATCTGTTGCTCTCAAGATGTGCGTGCATGCAGACACCGCACACGCACACGCACACAGTAACTAAGCCTTGTACAAAGTTATCGCTGCAATCCTAGTGTTAAAAATGGGAGTCTGCTGTTCTCGATGTTCTGTAACATGAGTGTTATTCAGAGCAAGCCTTGTGCCAGATGCCGTGTGTTCCCTAAGTGAACCCTGCAACGCCCCCCTCCCTGGGGTGTGGTTCCATTCAATGAAATGACACCCTCTGAGCTCAGTTTAAAATTGGGCTAGTGTGGTAGTGAATCTATTGACTTGTAGCTACGACACCCCAGGATAATGATATAAAACAAATCTTGTGGTTTGCTGAACATTTTGCAGAGTGTGATCTTCATAGTTTGCTTTAATATTCTGAGGTGTGTTGAAGATATTAGCACTTTTTGTTCTACTGAGCTGCACATACCCCACCTTTTCCTGATGACTCATCTGTTTGCTAGTCCAGGGTCTGAGGCCACCCCTGGCTTCAGCACAGACTGAAACAGGAGGAGAGGTGTATGCAGTGAGAGTCGTTTGAAGAGGGTCTCTGGTGACAGTGTCACAGTCAGTGACTGCATGGCTTAACACTTAGTACCAGCTTACTGCATGTGACACAGTAACAAGGTGAGATGCTAGAACGTGGCAGGGGGTTCTCTCTTCCACACTGTGTGAGAGATGCAGTGAAATGAGTCCTGAAACTTAACTGGCATCAATGTCTCTTGCAAGCTTTTGAACTTATTCTGTCTACAAATTTCTCCCCCTCTTTGAAAGGGCATGATATTTGAGGTTTGATTTTAAGGATAGATGTCTCATAAGATTCCTGACATCCTTGTGCACGGCTTTGGGAAGGGCAGAAGTGTATGTAAACACTGAGCTTAACTTCCTGGTTTGGGTAAAGTTTTTAGTTTAACCTTTCCATTGCTGTCTGATGCCTGTCTCTTGAATGTTCTGTGCAAGGTTTTGTGGCAAACATATCATGGAACTTCTGTGAGCTGAAGTGTGCCCAAGTTGGATAAATTTTGTGAAACATACAGGATAACCACCAGGTTTCCCATGGCTGGTTTTATGACTGAACCAGATCTGGAGATGGTGACGAAGACTGGCCACAATGCTGTAGCACTTCTGATTGATTGGACCTGAACAGGAAGAGCGCTTTGTGATCTTTTGAAGTGGATTCGTGGGAAGATTCTGTAGCTGTTCCAGTAAAGGTTGCGCTATAAACCAGAAAATCTGGAGCAGCCTCTCGTGCTCCTCCAGTATATTGCAGTCACTTTTCCAATGTGAAGGAAGGTGGGGCTTGAAGAAATGAGGAGGGTCAGTGTAATATTGTTGGCCAGCTATGGCCTTTGTCAGTGGAACTTGAGCAGGAGCCACTAATGGGAATAATGAGCTGGTGTGGTCAGAGAATATTGCTGTAATGAGGCATTAAAAAGCAACAGAGCATTTCCACAAAAAGATTATGGTGTCTTCTACGCGTGCACTGCGCCTTACATCTCCGCAGTGCCTGTTTGCCCTGTCTTCTGTCAGTTCAACTCTGAATTAATTCAAAGGGTTCTCTCTCTCGCATTCTAAACCATCTTGGGGGAGGTAAAGGGAGATTTAATAGTGTTGGTGAAGGGTTTGGGTGGAGTAAATGAGAATCTGTTACCAGCAGCAGGAAGGTCCATCATCAAATGGAGACAGATTGAAGAGAATTGTAGGTGTAGCATAGTTTTGGTGGTACAGACTCAATGGGCTGAAGGGCCTCCTGTGTATTGTTTGATTCTATGAGGGGAATGCTTTATTTGAGGCTGAGAGTTGTTGTGATCTGGAACGCGCTGCCTGAAAGGGTGGTGGGAGTGCATTCAGCAGGAACTTTCAAAAAGGGGGGAAATCAGAGAAATGGTAGACCAGAATAAATCCATCAAATCTTTTTGGAGGGGTGGTGGTGAAGAGCAGTGGTGGCTGGATAGAGGCTGAGTGGGACCAACTGGATAGCCCCCTCTTGTTCTGATTTTATATTGCTGAATGGGGACCGAGGAGGAGGTCTATTTCTCATCATGGGCATGTCCACTCCCTGACACAACAAACAGGCATGTCCTAACAGCAGTGGGAACATGGGGAATTTATTCTGCTTTCATTGTGACTCCTAATTCTTTCAGATATTGCAATGCACCCAACTGCTTCAAAATTAAATACTCCTGGCCTACTGTTTTAATACTGAACCTGCACTCCCCTCACCTCCTTTCACTGTTGCAGCTCTCTCTTGCTGTGAATTGCTGGTCAGTTGTTCAGTTTTAGCTACATGGTTGACCTGTAAATGCCTGCGGACTGGATTGAATCACACCACTAAATTATGAACCAGTGATGATACAATCCACCTGTAGATTGACTTAGATTGTTCCCTGGACTGTTTGAAACAGCACACCCCTAACTGTAAATGCACCTTTCAGATACATTTTGGATCAAATTTTTTTCACCTGCTTCTACTTTCAGCAGGATCTGAAACGACAGTTAGGAATCTGGGCTGGAACGTATAGAGCTGGCGCACATAATGGGAACGGCAGTGATTCAATAGCGTCAGTCTCTCTCCCGGCTCTGTCACTTTACAAACAAGTGCTAGCGGTTGGCATCACTGAGGCCTGTCCCAAGGGGAAGGTTGAGGGTTTTGGTGAACTGTCAGAAAATGAGCTGGAGCTGTGGCCATGATCCTGAGCCTTCAGTGGTGTCAGGTACTGAAATCCTCAGACTCTGTAGCTGCCATTCATTCTCACTGTTTTGCTTGTGCCACCATTTGAGAGAGTGGGGCGCAGGGAGGATTTTGCTAGCTCCTTTTGTGGAGCGAGTGGTTTGGAATATCACGTGAATTAGGAGCAGGAGTAGGCCACTTAGCTCCTCAAAGCCTGCTCCACCGTTCAGTAAGGTCACGACCGATCTGATTATGGCCTTACATTGCCACCTACCCTGTCGCTGACCCCCTTAGTGAGTCAAGAATTTGTTGACCTCTTCTCTTAAAAAGATGCCCCATCCTGTTAAAACTGCCTCCATACTAGAAATCTGAGGAGACTGGGATGTGAGAGTGAGAATAAAGCTGCAGGACTGTATCATTGCACTTTCCTATGTTTTAGTGAAGAGAAGGAAGAGGAGAATGTGGAGAATCAGGAGGTGAAAGGAGAGAGCGAAGCTGCTGATGAAGAAGCACAGGCAGAGAAGGTAGGTGGCAGCTGCTGGACACTGCACATGTGCATCCTGGCACCTGTGTGTGAGTTGCGATGGTAAACGTGCGCAGAACAAGCTGTGCACATTGCTTCCTTGCAGAAAATGACCTCTCCCAATGGCTACTGCCTCCTGACCAGACACTTCCTACGCAATCCCCTGCCACCTCAGAATATAGAGATGGCACCGAAATCTAGGGATATTCTAGAGAATTTACCTCCAAGCCCCTCAACCCTATGTGCACCTGCTTTACACTGTAAGAGTCCAGTGCTTTTGTGCTATCTTTGTGGTTCAATCCGGGGGTGGTTCGGTGTTTAGCACTGCTGCCTCACAGTCCCAGGGACTCAGATTCAATTCTACCCTCGGGTGACTGTCTGTGTGGAGTTTCCACATTCTCCCCATGTTTGCGTGGGTTTCCTCCCACAGTCCAAAGATGTGCAGGTTAGGTGGATTGGCCATGAGAAATTGTCCCATAGTGTCCAGGGTTGCGTAGGCTAGGTGGATTGGTCGTGCGAAATGCAGAGATAGGGTGAGGAGGATGGGTCTCGATGGGCCAATGGCCTTTTTCAACACTGTAGGGATTCTATGATCCTCTGTCTTGGAGGTAAATGTTCATCTTGCAGTGTAGAAGTTGATTGGGAACTGCCTGGGATGCAGAATAAACATGAGGGAGACAGGAATATGCAGGAGGAGGAATGGGTGGAGTAAAAATGAACGTGTGGATCTGATATCAGTTTGATAGAATTCTATTTTCCATTGACAGCCTGAAGACAAAGATTCCCAGAAGGAAAATGAAGAGAAAGAAGACAAGGCTGGAATGTGGGAGGAAACGTTTAAAACCCACACTGACTCCAAACCTAATGGTAATGTTGCCTAGGGAAACAGCTTTAGTAACATTACTGCCTGACCACTGGGCAATACTGAGGCAGGGGTAAGGGATACACTGACATCAGTCTCGGCTCTCTGATGAGGGAATAAGCTGCACAAGTAATGCTGTATTGAGGTTCTGAGGAATGCAGGGATTAATTGAAATATTAAATCCCTGATCGAGTTTACTACGTCATTAGCACCAGCACAGTTTCCTTCAAGAATGATGGTTTGTAACTTGAGCTGAATATGTCTGAGGTACTAGGTCGGGTCCTAAAGGACATAGCTGCTAGACTGGGTCTGTGGCGGGTGGTAAAGGAACCATCAAGAGGGATAAACATACTGATCTCATCCTCACCAATCTGCCAGCTGTGGATGCTTCTATCCATGACATGTTTGGTAAGAGTGTCCACAGTGCAGTCCTTTTGGAGATGAAGTCCTAACTTCACATTGAGAATAAGCTCCATTATGTTGTGTGGCACTATCACTGTGCCTGATGGGACACCATTCACAGATACTGAAGCAGTCCATGTTCAAATGCAGCAAGATCTGGACAATATCTAGGCTTAGGCTGACAAGTGGCAAGTAACATTCGTGCCATGCAAATGCCAGGCAATGACCATCATCAATAAGAGACAATCTAACCACCACCCCATGACATTCAATAGTGTGACCATCACTGAATCCCCCACCATCAACATCCTGGAGGTTACCATTAACTAGAAGCTGAGTTGGACTCTCCATGTAAACACAAGGGCTACAAGAGCAGGTCAGAGGCTGAGAATCCTGCAGCGACTAACTCCCCACCTGACTCCCCAAAGCCTGTCCACTATCTAGAAGGCACAAGTCAGGAATGTGATGGAATACTCCCTACTTGCCTGGATGGGTATAGCTCCAACAGCACTCAAGAAACTTGACACTACTCAGGACAATGTAACCCACTTGATTGACCTCTCGTTCACAAATATCCACTCCTTCCACTACCGACGCTCAGTAGCAGCAGTGTGTACCATCTACAAGATGCACTGCAGAAACTCACCAAAGATCCTCGGGCAGCAGCTTCCAAACCCATGACCACTTCTTTCGAGAAGGTCAAGGACAGCAGATACATGGAAACGTCGCAACCTGCAAGTTCCCCTCTGAGCCCCTCTCCATCCTGACTTGGAACGATATTGTCGCTGAATCAAAATCCTGGAATTCCCTCCCTAACAGCGTTGTGGGTCAACACACAGCACATGGACTGCAGTGATTCAAAAAGGCAGCTCGCTAGCACCATCTCACGCGGTAACTAGGGATGGGCAATAATTGCTGGGCCAGCCAGCACACCCATATCCAACCAATGAATATTTTAAAAAAACTCCAGCTGATCTGTCAGCATTGTAGCAGCAGCTGTCGCTCTTATCAGTGTGTTCAAAGCTGTAGATGCAAGATGCACCCAGATTTGATCATAATCAGGCTGGTCTTCCTGAGGGAGCACCACGCTATTGGATAGTGGCTAGGTATCTTCCATATAAGTCATATCCCTGTTCATGCTCAGGCGATGACGGTTTATCAGGGTAGACCCTGAGCTCCGTCTGTTTTGGGGTACTGTGTTGATTCAGTATTAATTCTCTGTCCTCAGGACCATCCTCTGTTGGCCTGGACTTCTCTCTCCCTGGCTTTGAACATGTTTACGGGATTCCTGAGCATGCTGACAACCTGAAACTCAAGACCACTGAGTAAGTACCAGCCACTGAGGCTCGTGGAGATTTCTTTCAGCAGACTGTTTGTGCACACTCTTTTGGCATTAAATACTGGCCAGCAGTGAGGCTTCAGTCTGCTCTCTGAATATTGAGTAGAGGATAGGTCAAGTCAATGTTGTTGAGGGACCCACCTTGCATTACTGACCATTCTCCCCAGTGACGAGGTCTTCTCTGTGTCCTGGGGCCAATATGTGCATCTCCTTCAAAATCACATAAAAGACATGAGCTTGTTCGTTCTCATTGCAATGTGTGGAAGCTTGCTGTGTGTAAATTGGCTGCTGTTTCCTTCATTATGACAGAAACAGCTGTTAAGATCCACTGAGCAAAGTAGCTGATTCTCACTACTCTCAGAAGGGCAACAAAAGCTCATTATTTAATCCAAGATGCAAAGTCCCTGACAGTCCCGTCTGATAGAATCCAGTTAATAGAGAACACCAACAAGGTACCTGCACTTAACAAGATAGCAACATAAATAAGTACGTTGTAATCCTGAGTGAACAGTTATGAACTATCAACATGTCTCCTCATGGTAAAAACACGAACTCTGATTTAAACCCCTAGCCACATACACACAGGCACAGTCAGACAAAAAGCATAGTGTTTCTTTTCCTTCTGCTCAGGAAAAAAAAAACTCAAGGAAACACTGTTCCATGGCCCCGTTGGTCTGTTGAGGTGTTTGTGTTGCTTGTGCACACTTTCTGTTCTTCAACTACCTTTCTCCAGGTTTTTTCACATCTTCAGCAGAGCCACAGGCTGATTAGCACACTAACTGCAAAGTCTCTTAGTTACTTGAAGGCAACTTCTTACAGCAACTGGTTGGAGGATAAACAACTGCCTTTCTTCCGGTTTCAGGTATTTTTACTACACAGAGACACAGCTTGCCCTTCCAGCAGTCCGAAGGACACTTAATTGTTCACACTCTCAAGCTTGTTAATGCCCCAGGAACCAATCAGAAATCTGTTGTCAGGCTGATCTTTTGCATTTGGACTGGTCACAGTTGTACAAACCAATCAGCGACTTGTTGCCAGCCAAATCTTCCTTTGCGCACACTCCCTGGTACTGTGCTGTCAATGAACACCTTCCCCCTGCACTGCTCAAACAAAGCAGCAATGTAAACACCACACAATGTCTCAGTACCTTGACTTTAAAAGGACAGCAATTCATTTCCTTGGTTTTTAAAATAGTCCTTTCTCCCCTACCTTTGTACACAATTAAAAATACAGGAAATGAAATGACGCGTTCTTTATGCCATGCTTCAAACATAAAATCCTGCATTGGCTCTGAAACCCTGAGTTGGTAAAAGAAAACACTGTGTAAGAATGGGAGGTTTTTCTCCTTTCTTCCTATCTGGAACCGTCCTGAGATTAGGAAGATCCCCACAGGTGAGAGTCTGTGGGTAGTACCTCCTGCTGTCACAGTCAATGGTTGGTGTTACTAAGTGTGTGTATAATTTACTGTTTCTTTCACTTCTGTTTAGAGGTGGAGACCCGTACCGCCTGTATAACCTGGATGTGTTCCAGTATGAGATATTTAACCCCATGGCACTATACGGGGCTGTACCTCTCCTGCTAGCGCACAACCTTCGCAGGACTCTGGGCATCTTCTGGCTGAATGCTGCGGAGACTTGGGTGGACATCAGCTCCAACACAGCAGGCAAGGTGAGTAACATTCCTCCCATAGGCACTTGCCTTTTGGAACCTGGTGTGTAAACTGGATAGCTGTCCCTATGCTGCAACTCGCCATCCTTCAAGGAGCTATTTCAAATAATCTTGAGGCCCTCAACGTGGAACAGAGGGCATAGAATAGCAGAGGGCATTGAGAAGTAGCTACGCTGTGATGGCACGACTCCAGATGCTGGAGGGGTTTCAGACTTTGGGGAATGGAGGTTGTCTACTCCATCTGTTCTCTCTGGTGAACATAAAGAGTTGTTGGATACTGTGTGTACAAACAAACGAAGGTGAAGATCACTGAAGCGTTATGTAACAGAGGGAGCAGGCTCAGGAGCCTGAAGGGGAAAGGTCTACCGTCAGATTCGGGTTTCCCAGATGGTTGCTCAGCATAAGATAATTTTGGAGCAAGACTAGAATAGGCAGAGACCATTCAGACCTTCTAGTTCCGTCTAGCACTCCGGTCAGGCCTTGCTTTTAAGGGTGGCAACGGCCTCGTGGTATTATCACTAGACTATTAATCCAGAGACCCAGGCAATGTTCTGGGGACCCAGGTTGGAATCCCACCATGGCAGATGCTGGAAGTTGAGTTCAATAAACAAAAAAGATTGAATCAAGGGTTTAGTGAATGTCATGACATCATTGTCGAATGTTGAGGGGGGAAAAAATCCATCTTTTTCACGAATGCCCTTTAGCAAAGGAAATGTGTCACCCTTCCTTGTCTGGCCTACATGTGACTCCAGACCCACAGCAATGTGGTTGACTCTCCACTGTCCCATGGGAAACTAGGGGTGGGGCAATAAATGCTGGCTTAGCCAGTGATGCCTTCATTCGTGAAGAAATATTTTTTAAAAAGCCCACACCTGTCAGTACTTGTACTCAGCGGGGTCCTAGAATTTAGCTTTACAAATGAAAGACTGCTTGTGATACACAGATTATTCTCAGATTACCTCTTGTATCTCGTGAAGTTTGTGGATTTTGGATTAAAAGATTTTCTGTCGGGACGATCTGGAAAGACTCCATCCTCCAGCTCCCTATGTTGAGATTGGGACCTGGGCCTTGGTATGTTCCTTTTCAGTCGCTCTGGTTCTCACTGAGCCTGATGTCTCCACAGACTCTGTTTGGGAAGATGCTGGATTATGTTCAGGGGGCGAATGAAATTCCACAGACTGATGTGCGCTGGATTTCCGAGAGTGGGATCATTGATGTCTTCCTGCTCCTGGGGCCCTCTCCGTTTGATGTCTTCAAGCAGTACACCTCACTGACAGGTAGGTCAGCCACAGTGGACTGGGATTTGACTGAATTACTGCTGATATCAGAATCCTGGCTCAGCCCTCCAGAGGTAGAAGGTCAGACAGGGAAACAGGAGAGGTTCCTTGGAATGTCGACAGTGCCTTACAGATACATCTGTGACTGATGTGGGAACAGGGAGGGGCACCCTCTGGTCCCTTTTGAGCCTGTTCCTGAGTGTGAAGGAGGACCTCCTGATATCACCTCTGGTCTGGGTTGGATTTTAAGATGTCCTTTGTTCTGGACTCTCACAGCAGATCGTTCTCCCTCAAGAAAGTAACTCATTCCCCTTTGGGAGCTTCTAATGGAACGTTTCCTCTGTTTTTCAGACAGCACCTTGCAGGTCCTCTTTGTCTTTTCGTGTTTGTTTACACCTTAAATTCTCACCACCGTTGCCCTGATTCCTGTGGTCATTTTATTCAGTCAATTTCTTCCTTTTTGCTCATTATCAAGAATCTTGATTCTCAACCAACCTTTAAATATCACCTTAACCTTCCCTGCTCTGAGGGGAACAATCCCAGCCTCTCCAGTCTGTCTCCATATTCACTGAAGTCCCTCATTCCTGGTCCCATTGCAGTAAATCTTCCTCCACACCCTGTCCAAGGGCCACGATGTCCTTCCTAAAGCGTTGGGACCTTGTATTCCAGCTGGTTCATTGCTTTTGCAAACATGCCTCTATTTATAAAGCCTGGGACATGTTTTCTTCTAAACAGCCTTTTTAACCTGTCTTACAGGTTCCACAGATTAGGGTACACATAGTGCCTTGCAACACCACCTGGGCCCCTCTGTTCCTGCATCACCTTTTCGATTGTGCCATTTGCTATATACTGCCATAATCACATTATGCAGCTGGAAGCTCAGTCCAAGTGGAATGTGGAATGGCTTGATTGAGAGAGCTAGTACAGGTATGAGGGACCGAACAGATTCCTCCTGTGCTGCGTGATTGGATAGCTGGTAGATGATATACAGTAGCTGGTCTGCTGAGATTAAAAACAGACAGAGAGATGTGGGCCCATCCCTTACGGAAGGTGGTGGTAAGCTGCTGCCTTGAACTCCTGCAGTTGCTGGGGCTAGGGTAGGGTGCTATTAGGGAGGGAATTCCAGGATTTTTCAGCAACACTGAAGTCAGGATGGTGAGTGGCTTGGACGGGAATGTGCAGGAGATGGTGTTATCATGTATCTGTTGCCCCTGCCTGTCTCAGTGGTAGATGATGCAGGTTTGGAAGGTGCTGTCAGTTGCAGTCACTGTCTCTCCTGCCCTGCCCCAGGAACGCAGGCTCTGCCCCCTCTCTTCGCCATCAGCTATCACCAGTGCCGCTGGAATTACAATGACGAGGATGATGTCCAGACTGTTGATGCTGGTTTCGATGAACATGATATTCCCTATGACGTTATCTGGCTGGACATCGAGCACACAGATGGAAAGCGATACTTCACCTGGGATCCCAACAAATTCCCCAATCCCAAGGAGATGCTGCAAAACCTGGCCTCCAAGAAGCGGAAGGTAAGGGAAGGGAATTGAGGAAGGCGAGGGGCTGGGGGATAATGGATTTGCATTGTTCTTTGGAAAGCTGTAGTGCGTGCGGATCACTAACTCCACATCACCCCTCCAGATGGTCAGTATAGTGGACCCCCACATTAAAATCGATAGCGGCTACAAGATTCACACGACTATCCAATCTCGCAACTTCTACGTTAAGACCAAGGACGGGAATGATTACGAAGGCTGGTGTTGGCCAGGTAGTTGTTCATGATAACTGCTTCTGTAACCTGTCATCCTTCCTGCTTATCTCCGAGCTTTCTTGTGTTTCTTCTGTCTGTCCAGCTGTGCAGCAATAGGGATCTCAACAGTAATAGGGGCTTGCGTTTACATAATAACTTGCTGGTAGTAAAATATTCCCCAGGCTTCATAAGTGCGTAAATGACACTGAATTTAATGCTGTGATCGGTATATGACAAAACATACAACCAAGGAATAAGTTTTAATGGAGGATCTTTAAAGGAAGACAACAAATAGTGGAATGAATTCCAGGTTTTGGTAACCAGGCGTTTCAAAGATCAGCTACGAGGCAGAGAGGGGCACAGGTCTCAGTTGTGTAAGGTCTGGAGGAGGAGACAGAAATAAGGAGGGGCTGTAGCAGGCGACGGAGGTTGGAGGGGGTGTGGGGGTGCTAGAGGGGGGGCGACAGAGGTAGGGAGGAGTTTCAGCACTGGTAGGCAAGTAAACATGATGGAGATAGTTCAGGGTGTGGAGGTGGCGGAAGTTTTGTTGCGACAGGTTTGGTGCAGTGGAATTTGTGCAGCAGATTGTTGAGCTGAGGATTACTCGTGGCCAAATCTGAAATAACACTGACATAGTTGAGGGACCTCAACTGACCCCTGTTTCCCTGCGCTGTATGTGCTCTGATAAAGACACCCTACAGTAGCTCACTGGTTCGCTGCTATGGTTATGTAGTAGTTGATCCCTCCACTCTTTGTTCTTGAGCTCCTTCTGTTTTGCCTGTCACTCTTCACCTCACTCAGCGGCTTTGTCACCCAGTCTTTTTTTGACACCTGTTAACCTGTGGGTGATTATTCTGGCTTTCTATCTGAAATGTTGATTGCTTGCTGTGGACTTTCGACATGAATGCAGTGAGCTGATGGGTGTCTGAGGTTCATACCTACAGTTTAATCCTCGTCTATCTGTCCTAGGTTCTGCTGGCTACCCTGACTTCACCAATCCGGAGATGCGGTCTTGGTGGGCCAGCATGTTTGCTTATGATCAGTATGAGGTCAGTTAAAACAGTGTCTCATGATCAAACACTTGTGCTTTTTACAGACTGGGCAGGCTGGATTGGTAGTCGGTCTTCTCCCTCCAGAGTGTTGAGCTTAAATCTACGGCAATATATTGGGTTTAGTTTTTAAATCTGTTTCTCTTTAACCAGCTGACAAGATCCAACATCAAGTGTAACATGTATTAAGGGACAGAATATACAAAGAGGTTCTCTTGGGCTCGCGCTCGAACTGAAAATGGCTTTACTCTACGTCCCATGCAGTACTGCCCAAATTTGCTCTCCCCCTAAAATAAAATTTGAAACTTCAAAATTGTCCTCACTGATAGCAGTGACAGAGTGGGAGCCTGGAGAGAAGGCTGGAGTCATACAGCTCTAACTTGCTTAGAGCTCCACAATGCCCTATTACTGCCTCAGAATTTACAGAACCCCACTCAAGGCCCTGACCCTCCCATTGGGAAGCTCAGTCCTTTTTACAGGCAACCCCTGACCAGGTTCTTTTTAATGCTGACTGCTGTAAAGGCTAAGGGGGCTGTTTCTATCCCAGCTCGGATTTGTCCTTTCCTTTTAGAGAAAGGAACTACAGTTTTGTACCTAGCATCCCAAAGTTGCTTCACAGCCAATGCAGGGCAAGTGTAGTCACTGTTATTGGAGGCCCCACTGTCTGTTTTTATCCACATAGCAATATCCTGCTAAGGGCCACATGGTAAAGACCCAGATCGCTGTGTTTTTTTATTTAAACATGTTGGTTGAGGGAGAGATTCTGGCTCCAGGACACCAGGGAGAGCTCCTCCAATTCCACTGCTCTCAAGGACGGCAGAATGGCAATGCAACATTCTATCGGTACTGTACCAGGAGCACTGACCTGGAATGTGGGTCTGTGAAATTGGGCAGGCAACTGCGGAGCTCAATCCCGGCAAGAGTCCAGAAGCAGGAATCCTGAGGATACCCATTGCAGCACTCTAGCTAAAACAGAATAGTGTCTAAGTCAAACTTTGGGACCCCTGGTGAATGGGTATCGACAAAAGCAAATTACTCCCAATGCTGGATCTACATTGATGGAAGCTGCACTAAAAACCACATGGTTTTAAAATAAGAGGCAAAGATGACAATTTGTTTTCTCTCAGAGGGTCATGAAACTGTTTCCCAGAGAAATTCATGTGTGGGTGCATGCATGTCTCTGCATGCATGCAGACTCGATTCGAGTGGAAGAAAATATTTGCATGTCTACAGCGAATGGACTTAACTTTCGATAATCTCTAACTCCCTGTTTTCTGTACCTTCCCCTGCCTCGTTTGATAAGGGCTCCATGGACAACCTCTACACGTGGAATGATATGAATGAGCCCTCCGTGTTCAATGGGCCTGAGGTGACCATGCACAAGGACGCTGTTCACATGGGTGGCTTTGAACACCGGGATGTTCACAACCTTTATGCCTTGTATGTGGTGAGTACTGCAGGGGAGGGGGAGCTGACCGTAATAACACTCCCACAGCGCAGGTAATCCTTTAGCATTTTATCTTGTGTGCTTTCACCTTGTACGCATATCTGGAATATATGACCCATTCAGAAGCTGAATTGGATGTGCCACGTAAACACAGTGGGAATCCTGCAGCGACTACTTCACCTCCTGACTCCCCACTTGCCTCTGAGTGCAGCTCCAACAACACCCAAGAAGCTCAACACCATTCAGGAGAAAGCAGCCTGCTTGCTTGGCACCACATCGCACGCTTTCAACACAGTGCCCCAGTGTTTACTGTTCCTCAGGAAAGATCGATGGGCCTTGGGGAGAGAGAGATACCAGCACAGAGTCTCTAAACTGACAGGCCAATAGGAATACTTGGCATGGACTGATTGTATAGACTGAACTGGAATTCCCAAGAATTGAGATTCAAAGCTGGTGTTTGAAGGATTTGATAGGATCGATCCTAAGTTTGTTCCCAGGGTGTGGGTATTTGACCAGACTGTTCAGGGGTGCTGTCAGAAAGCACTTCCTCAAACAAAAGGGCCACCTCAAAGCCCTCGTGGTCTATTGGAAATGTTCAAATTAAAGTGGATATGTTTTTGATGGGCCAAGGCTAATACATCATAAAATCCCTACAGTGTGGAAGCAGGCCATTCGGCCCATTGTGTCCAGACCAACCCTCCAAAGAGCATCCTACCCAGACCTTAGTCTGCTCCTGTAACTTCACATTTCCCATGGCCAATCCACCTAACCTGCACGTCTTTGGACTGTGGAGGGGAAACCGGAGCACCCGGAGGAAACCCACACAGACACAGGGAGAACATGGAAACTCCCCACACACAGACTGGCCAAGGCTGGAATCGAACCCAGGTCCCTGGCGCTGTGAGGCAGCAGTGCTAGCTACTGAGACACTGTGCCGCCCTGGAACAAAGTTGAGTAGATGGAGTTAAGATACACATCAAATGCAAAGTGAACGCTGGAATAGGCTTAAGGGGCCAAATGGTGACCACCTGTTGTTTCCATCTATACATTATCAGTGATCTTTGCTCATAGTCATACAGCACGGAAACAGATCCTTCAGTCCAACTTGTCTGCACCGACCAGAAATCCCAAATTGATCTAATCCCATTTGTTCCATATCCCTCTAAACTCTTGCTATTCATATACCCATCCAGATGCCTTTTAGATATTGTAATTGTACCAGCCGCCGCCGCCGCCTCCTCCTCAGGCAGTTTGTTCCGTACAAACACCATCCTCTGGGTGAAAAGGTTACTCCTCAGATCCTCTTTAAATCTTTTCCCCTCTCACCTTAAACCTAAGCCCTCTAGTTTTGGAGTCCCCTACTCTGGGGAAAAGACCTTGGCTATTTACCTTATCTATTCCCCTCACGATTTGGTATATCTCTATAAGGTCAACCCTTCGTCTTTGATGCTCCAGGGAAAATAGCCTCAGACTATTCAGCTGCTCCCTGTGGCTCAAACTCTCTAACCCTGGCAACATCCTCATAAATCTTTTCTGAACCCTTTCAAGTTTTGCAACATCGTTCCTACAGCAGGGAGACCAGAATTGAACACAGTATTCCAATAATAGCCTAACCAATGTCCTGTACAGCCACAACATGACCTCCCAACTCCTAACCTCAATGCACTGACCAATAAAGGCAAGCATACCAAATGCTGCCTTCACTATCCTATGCACCTGTGACTCCACTTTCAAGGAACTATGACCCTACAGTCCAAGGTCCCTTTGCTCAGCAACACTCCCCAAGGCCTTACCATTAAGTGTGTAAATCCTGCCCTGGTTTGCCTTGCCAAAAATGCAGCACCTCACATTTATCTGAATTAAACTCCAACTGTCACTCCTCAGCCCTGTCCATGACATCACCTATTTTGGTGTCATCTGCAAACTTACTAACCATTCTTCCTATATTCACGTCGAAATCATTTATATAAATGACACACAAAGCAGTGGACCCAGCACCGATCCTTGTGGTACACCGCTGATCACAGGCCTCCAGTTTGAAAACAATCCTCCACCGTCACCCTCTGTCTCCTACCTTCAAACTAAGTTTGTATCCGAGTGGCTGGCTCTCCCTGGATTCCATGTGATCTAACCTTACTAACCAGTCTATCACGTGGAACCTTGTCAAACGCATCAGTGAAATCCATATAGACAATGTCTACCACTCTGTCTTCATTAATTTTCTTCGTCACCTCTTCAAAAAAACTCCAATGATCTTTTACCTCTGCTTACTTTGCAGCAAATGGCCACATCAGATGGTCAGATCCAGCGGTCTGGAGGAATAGAGAGGCCCTTTGTCCTCACCAGAGGTTTCTTCGCTGGCTCCCAACGTTACGGTGAATTTATTGGGGTTTAGTTTTGTGGCTGACCTGAAAATTAGACTTTGTAAAACTCATTGTGTACGTTGGTTAGATTTAGAGTGCCCTGTGACTACATACGGCCACAATATTGTCGAGAGGATACAGAGGTTCTACAGAACCTGCAAGACGCATTGCTGCCCCCACCCTATTGAGAGACATGAAAAGGCTGGATAGGAAAGGCCAATATCAAGGGGGCACACTTTTAAAGTGAAAGGCAGGAGGTTTAGAGGGTATCTGAGGAAAATCTTTTATACTCAGGTGGGGGTCTGGAATGCAACACGTGGGAAGCGTAGTTGAAGTGGGCAACCCCATCAATATCAGACATTCCCGAATAAATCCAATGGGGAATTTGGGAGAAACGTTCCTGCTCCTTTCCTCCCTGGAGTGTAGGAAGAATGGGGAGCTTTCTCCAATGGGGAGGGCTCCAGGGAAATCATGGTAATATGTTTAAGGCAGGAAGCTAGATAAACTCATGGGGGAAAAAGAAGGATAGCAGGATCGGGGGAGAGATGAAGACTAGGTGGGGAAGAGGCTTTTATGGAGCAGGCACACCAGCTGATGGCTGAATGGCCTGTTTCTGTCCTGTGTAATCTCACCTGGTTGCTGATGGTGTTTCTGCCACAGAATCATACAGCACGGAAACGGACCCTTCAGTCCAACCATTCCCTGCTGAACATAACCCCAAACTAAACTAGTCCGACCTGCCTGCTCCTGGCCCATATCCCTCTAAACCTTTCCTATTCATGTCCTTATGCAATTGTCTTTTTAAACGTTGTAATTTTATATATACACACACACACACACACACACACACATACACATACATGTATATATGTGTGTATGTATATGTATATGTATATGTAAATATAGCACTTCCTCAGGAAGTTCATTCCATATGCGAACCTCCCTCTATGTAAAACAAATGTCTTGCAGGAGGGGTAATCTTTCAGCCTATGCTGTCTGCAGTGTTGTGTTTGGGAATATTGTAGGGATACAGGAAAGGGAGTGTGCTGGGTGTAACCTCGGATCTCTTGGTGGCAGGCTCCCTCCTTGATCCCAAAAGCTTCCAGGATCTTTGGAGGGTGAAGAGAGAGAGGAATGAGAGCATTTCTAATCTGGGTAGTAGCACAGTGCTATCATTTGGAGGGTTGCATGTTGTGTTCAATTCTGGGGGGAAAATGTATAAGTTGTAGATTTGCTCATTGTTCCCCTGTCTCCTGCGATGTGTGCGGGATTTCTTTTCCATATTGTGATTTCTTGCTGCTGGTTGTCTCCAGGGGCAGTGTGGACAGGTGATAACTCTGCTGAGTGGGACCACCTGAAAGTGTCGGTGCCAATGTGCCTGTCCCTGGCACTGGCTGGCATTTCGTTCTGCGGAGGTTAGTGTCATTCAGTTGCGGTTTCTAGCGGTGGTCACTGGGTCAGGCTTACGGGCATCTTGTAGATTTACCTTACTCAAGGCCTGGTCCCAGAGGTGGGTCTGAACCTCGGGTATTGACTGCTGCACCGGGCAAGTGCTGTCCTTTCTTGACACATTGAAGCGGGAAGCTGGAGAAACAAGAGGGGGAAAAAGGGATTGGGTGTCAAGGGGTGATGGGAGGAGGCTTCTAGTGGAGCAGAGACACCCAGCTGATGGGCCAAATGGCATGATTCAGTGCTGCAAAATCTGAAACTGAGAAGAGGGTAGGATGAGAGACTCTTCCCCCACCCTCCTCCGCCTTCACTGGGAGGTGAGTTTCAGGGAGAATTTGATCCTGTCCCTGAGAGGCTGGGCTATGAGAGCACACCCCCAACCTCCCGTCCCTATCCCAGGGAGGGGTCATGGGAGAAGTCCTTTCCAATCCTTTTTCTGTGGGGTTAGGGGGTTTGGGAGTCTGTCCCCCTTTGGGGACTGTAAGCTGAGCGCTGCTGTCCTGATGCCTGTCGCTCTACGTTACAGCGGATGTAGGTGGTTTCTTCAAACACCCCAGCCCTGAGCTGCTGGTGCGCTGGTACCAGGCAGGTGCCTATCAGCCATTCTTCAGAGCCCATGCTCACCTGGACACCCCAAGGAGGGAACCCTGGCTCTTTGGAGATGACAACAAGCTGGTGATCCGTACGGCTATTCGAGAACGCTACGCCCTGCTCCCATTCTGGTACACACTGTTTTACCATGCCTATCGGACAGGAGAGCCGGTCATGAGGTAACTTCACTTTGCCCTTTCGGTCAGTGTCAGTGGCACAGTAACGTGCTGTTGGGTTTAGCTGTGCCTCCATCTGGTCCAGTCTCTGGATTTCTCGCAGTCTGTCTGAGAAATGTGCTCCCCGAGGGTCCTGTGGACCATCGGTCCTTGAAGGTTACTGCTGCCTCTAGTGGGGGCAATGAACTGAGACTATCTTCATTTCAAAATAGCCTGACAGTGAGTCAACACTCAGTGAAGTTTATCTGTGCTTGGGGAAAGTCCTATTCTTTTACAATGTCAAACCTACAAACACAACAGCCATCCCTGTCATTCATTGGCCTAGCTGTGTTCTGATCCTAGATCTGATTGACAGCTTTATATTCCTGGACATACAGGGTTGCTACATTATGTCACGTTCTAGTTCGGGACCAGGGAGTTTTTTTTAAAAAGCAGTGAGCAAAGTGGGATCTAGTGGCTTTACTAAGAGAATAAAGCCACAGGATTCCACAGACAGCCCCGATAAACCTTGTCTTTTTTTCTCTTTATTCATTCATGGGATGAGCGTGTCGCTGACCAGGCAGCACTTATTGTCCGTCCCTAAATGCCCAGAGGGCAGTCGAGTCAACCACATTGCTGTGGGTCTGGAGCCGCATGTAGGCCCAGACCAGGTAAGGATGGCAGTTTCCTTCCCTAAAGGACATTAGTGATCCAAGTGGGATTTTCCAACAATCAACAATGTATTCACGGCCATCATTAGACTGTTAATTCCAGATATTTATTAAATTCAAATTCCACTACCTGCCATGGCGGGATTTGAACCCATGTCCCCAGAACGTTACCGCGATAATACTACTAGGCCATCGCTTACCCAAAAGCAGCAGCAGGTCTTGAGGCTGGGTGTAAAAGATGCCACATTGTAAAATGTTTCCAGCTGGTTTGGCCAATATTTGTCTCGACGAGAAACCGATAAACTGGGTGGTTCAGTGTGTGGGATCTTGCTGTGTACACATTGGCTGCCATGTTTACTCCATGGTAACACTCTTGTGCCTGTGAAGTGCTGTGCTATGTTCTGAGGCAGTGAGGGGTGCTCTCAGAAATGCAGCTGGAGGCTGGTGCTGGTGTTGGAACAGGAGAAGCTGTTCTCTCTGTGCCTATCCCTAAGTGTGGAATACTGGGTTTTCTGTTCATTCCCCAGAGCAATGTGGGTCCAGTTCCCTGACGATGTGAACACATTTAGCCTCGATGACCAGTACATGCTCGGTAAGTGGCACCTTTTAACATTGTTATCACTCTCTGCGGGAGCTTCCTACATGATTCCCCAGAGGCCATTCATCCCCCTCCTCGAGCCTGTTCCGTTTGCTTGGATCACAGCTAGTGTGTATCCTAACTCCATTGACCCTTACTCAGCAAAAATCTATCGAACTCTCCAAATCTTTCTTTGAAATTTCCGTTTGACCTGCAGCCTTGACCTTTTGGTTTTTGGTGAAAGAGCGCCAGACTTCCCTCCCCCTGTTTTGTGAGGAAGTGCTTCCTGACATCCCCTCCCTGAATGGCCCAGTTCAAATCAAAGTTCAGGACTACCCCCCCCACCCCCACCCCCAAACTCCTCATTGCCATCTCCAGAGGAAATTGTTTCCAAAAAAATGCACCTTAAAAATGTTAAGGGTTATGGGGCATGGAGTGGGCCGACGTGCATAGTTGTATCTGAGGGACTGAATGGCCTCCTGCATCAAGAGATCCTTTGGGGCAGTGTGTACTTTCAGCTGATTTCCTCCTCCTCCTTTCCCCGCTCCCCTCCGCCAAAAAAAAACACTCACTGAGCTGTACGTGGAGGCCCTGAATGTGGTGCTCTGCTTTAGGGTCTTCTCTGGTGTGGGATGGGGTGAGGAGAGAGTCATTTGCTCACCCTGTCTCTGTTCCAGGTGATGCTCTGCTGGTTCGGCCGGTCATGGAGCCCAGTGTTCGAGGAGTTCAGGTTTATTTGCCAGGGAAAGGGCAGGTGAGCTTCTGGATCTTGGGCAGCGGCTGCTGTTGTACTGATGGTTGTTGTGTTTCCCCCCCCGTCACGGCGGGTACAGGGCTGAACTGACTCTGTTCCATCATTCTCCTGCAGTTTTGGTACAACGTGCACAGCCACCAGAGGCACACGGGCCCTCAGAACCTGTACGAACCCGTCACCATCAGCACGGTAAGTGAGGGTATTGCTGGGACACAGGTTGGGGGCGGGGGGAGGTGTTGGAGGCACGTTTCACTGAGGTTCTAGTGTTGGGGTATTGTGTAGAGCTGTGCCCTTTCCTGGAACTCTGTAGCATGGAGATCCCCAGGATTGTAACACATTAATATCTGCTCGTGCCTCTTGTGTTTGCTGATTAAAAAGCCTTGAAGACTGGCCATTAAATACAATTACAGATCTTTCCAGTGCTGTTCTTATGAAATGTTTGTGTGAGCAGTGGGGGGCGCTTTTAAAGGGATTTCAACCAATGGAACGTATTGGTGGCTGTGTTCCTGGACAGAGTGAGCCAAACTCTCAGGAAGGATGTATCTCCAAGCCCATGTGGCTTTGTTGGAGACAATTGTGTGGTGGGGGGGCACTGGGGGTAAGGTGGAGGAGGTTGTATCCATCCATATCAGACCCACCGAGTGACCAGTCATCCCCTCAAACATGTAGTTAATCCAAGAATATCCTGTACATACAGTCACGAGCCAGTTCTGTAATTCAGTGAGGAATCTAACAGTGGCCTCGTTCATCTCTTCGTCAGATTCCAGTCTATCAGCGAGGAGGCACTATCATCGCTCGCAAAGAACGTGTTCGCAGATCGTCTTCATGTATGCAGGAAGATCCCTACACTCTATATGTGGCACTGAATGGACAGGTACTGTTCACATACTGTCTCTCTCTCTGGGTTACTGCTACTGAAATCCAGATCCCTTTTTATTGATTTCATCACCTGGTTCTGAAATCGATACTCCCAGGAAACCTGTGGAGGGAATCAATGGGATCTTGGGATCATTTACTGAGGCTTATGTTGGTGACTTGGTTTCATGACTTAACTGACCACATGCACGCATACACCCCCGGGGCAATGCGTCCCTGACCCTGATTCTGGTGGTTGACTGGCCCATGTCTGTTGAACAAATGAGAAAACAATAAGATTGTACTTCCTCATGCTAAACTGGGATCTTTCCTTCCAGAACACTGCTCAAGGAGATCTCTTTATTGATGATGGTCACACTTTCAACTTTGAGAAGAAAAATGAATATATCTACAAGAAGTTCAACTTTGTTAATAATTCCCTCACCTCCAGGTAATCAAATGGCACCGACATGTGGCTCAGAGGGAGCAGCTGGGGGCTGGAGTGCAAGGGGGACGTGGGAGGTGGGGCTGGAGTCAGTGTGTGGGTTAAATCTCTGTGTTTAACCTGCTTTTAGTACTGATCCTGTTGGCCACTACAAGACTGCAGCGTGGATTGAAAGGATCCTGATTCTTGGTGCAAGGAAACCAGCGACTGTGACCATCAAACTACCTGGTAAGGGATTTGCTGCTGTTGATCCATGTTCCAGCTCCCATTTGAAAATGTGATTTTTGTTGGATGTAATGTTTATGATCCTCTTGTTTGCAGATGGAACTGAATCGAACTTGAACTTTGAATACAATGCAGAGATCTCTGTGCTAACCATCCGAAAACCGGCTGTGAACATTGCTGCTGAGTGGAGCCTGTACATTCGATAATAGTGTTCCCTACACACCACCTGTCACTCATTCACTCCCCCTCTCTCTCACACACACACACACACTCTCTCTCTTTCTCTTACTGTCCTCTAACAAGGTAGACAGCTGTTGTAAGCAGCTTCTGGGCAAAAATTTGGCAGATTCTGGAACACCTTTGCTCTGCTGAGGTTGTTAACGTCTGGGCTTTGCTCACTGCCTCACAATGGCTGCCACGTTCCTTTGCAATTCTTCTTCCATTTCTGCTTTCAAAGTTGCAGGAACCAGCAGCTGAAACCCTGCCTTGGAGTGACTGCAAACTGTTTGAACTGCAATACTGCTGTGTGTGTTCCTGAGCTGGCTGCAGGGCTGTGTGTGGGGGTTTTCCACATTGCTTGTGTTTGTTCATTCTCTTCGTCCCTTGTGTTCTGTCCCTCTTTCTCTCTCTCTCTTTGTACCTGTGAGCTGTCTCGATATCTTCTTCCATCAACTCCCAGGCACTGCTCATTATCTGCTCATGTGAATTGTTTTCTCCTCCCTCAGCAAGCGTTTCTATCATTTGCTTTCCCCCTCTCGCTCTCTAACCAGTAGGAAGCAAACTTTTTGTTACTTCAGTCAGGAGGCTGTACCTTGCTGTCTGGTTACAGTATGACGGTGTTCCCACCAGAGAAGGCTGTGATTACAGTGAGAGTTCCCCATGGCAGGGACTTGAACTTTTGTGCCACTGACATGGGGGCAGGGGGGTGCTGCCCAGACATTACAGTCCCTGAGCATCCTTCGGTGAACAACTCCCAATTTCACTCGTATGTTTTTCTCAAATCACACACGCCTTCCCCTCCCACCACACCTGACTGCTTGGGTTTTTTAGAGAGCGGGGGAGGGGGGAGGGGCAGTTGTGACTTTACTCTGAGCTTGAACTAAAGCCCAGCCCCAGAATGATGAAAAGTTCCTCCTCTTGATTGTTGAAACTTTCAATATGTGACCATCTCTGTGGCGGGGGAGGTGGTTCTGGACATTAAGCAACATTTGCTCCAATAACAATGACTAATCATGCTGGTAATTTCTCAGTGAGCCTGTGTGTGGGCACATTGCTCTGAATTTTCTGCCCATCGACCCTGGTTTTAATGAAGCCCACACATTGTTACAGGGACCAGGCAGTAGTCACTGCTGTTTCAAGGTGAAATTGTACTTTTTTTTTGGTTTTGTTTTGCTCTTTGTTCTGATGGGTTTGTGTGTTCTGTCGGTTCCAGGTCTTGTGTAGTTTCCCTAGTCCTTCCTGGTGCATTTCCTCTGGTCCCTGGCCTGGTTGACTGTAGCCTTCTGGTTGCAGGTCAGGTCAGGTATAAAACCCAGCTCGAGCTTCCCCACTCCAACTGGGACAGAACGGTCAGCACGCGGAGATCTGTCTCCCTGTGCTCTGTCACTCTGTGCAGGGCCAGGAAATGCATAGTGGAAGGCATGGGTTAGAAAATGTCACTGAGTTACTAATGATTCTTCTTTGATCTCTGCTGTTTTGGATGTTTTTGATAAATGGAGACAATTAAAGACTGAAACTGTGTCTGAGTTTGTGATTGCTTTAATATCCTGGTTGCTTGGGCTCAGTGACCTGTTCCTGTGCGTGGAGCTATCCTTCTGCCAGTCCAGGAAGGTCCTGAACCTGGGGGTTCTCTGTCAATCAACGGGGAGTACACATCCTGAAACAGGAAACAAGGATGCACAGTAAGACCCCACACAGAACACCATCTGGCTGGTGTAACAGCCCCTGTGCCCTAACCGCCCGACACAGACCCCTCTCTGTCACCGTCACTGAAGCTTACAGCAGACCAACAGCCCAAAAGATTGCAGGAATCCCAGGCCACTCACTGGATGGTTTCAGCTGCACAACTCTCTGGAAATATTTCGGAGGCAAAACCCCATCCTCGTTGCCTGGCGTCAAAATCACCCGATTGGTGGAAAAATAAAAGGGGATTCCATCTGAAAGATAACCGAGAAGCTCTGAGCAATACCGCAGAGTGGGCAGTGCAGGGGATGAGGAGTGAATTAAAGCAGTGGGGAGAGTTACCCTTGATGGCCTTTCCCAGATCGATGAAGATGGCCAGCTCACAGTCACTGCGTATTCCTGCAGGGTAATGAGAGAACAGCAGGGTGACACATCCAAGTATCAGTGTTTGGCATATTCACAAGGACTCAGACCAATTTTTATCAATGCACCATAGAAAGCATCCTACTCCTATGCATCACAGTATGGTACAGCAACTGCCTTGTCCCAGACCACAAGACATTACAGAGTTGTGAACACCATCCAGTCCATCACACAAATTATACTTCCAGCTGCAACAGAAAGCAGCCAATATAATCACAGACCCCCTCCCACACCAGTTATACTCTTCCACCCTCCATCAGGCAGCACATACCAACAGATTCAAGAACAGCTTCTTCCCTGCTGTTATCAGACTTATGAACAGACCTCTCATGTTAGAGTTGATCTTTGTCTGTACCTTCTCTGTAGCTGTAACACTATATTGTGCATTCTGTTCTATTACCCTGATGTACTTATACAAGGTATAAATTTCATAAAGACGTACAGCACAGAAACAGACACTTTGGTCCAACTTGTCCAGGCCGACCAGATATCCTAATTTAATCCAAAAAGCAGTGGACCCAGCACCAATCCTTGTGGCACACGGATGGTCACAGGCCTCCAGTCTGAAAAGCAACCCCCCCACCATCCTCTGTCAAGCCAATTTTATATCCAAATGGCCAGCTCTCCCTGCATCCCATGTGATTTAACCATCTAACCTTACTAACCAATCTACCATGCAGAACCTTGTCAAACACCTTACTGAAGTCCATATAGATCACACCCACCGCTCAGACCTCATCAATCCTCTTCGTTACTTCTTCAAAAAACTCAGTCAAGTTAGTGAGGCATGATATCCTATGCACAAAGCCATATTGACTATCCCTAATCAGTCCTTACCTTTCCAAATACATGTAAATGCTGTCTCTCAGGATTCCCCCCAACAACTTGCCCACCACCGATGTCAGGCTCACCTGTCTATAGTTCCCTGGCTTTTCCTTTCCATCTTTCTTAAATAATGGCACTATTAGTCAATGTCCTCACCTGTGGCTATCGATGGTACAAGTATCTCAGCAAGAGGCCCAGCAATCACTTCCTTAGCTTCCCACAAAATTCTAAGAAATACCTGATCAGGTCCCAGGGTTTTATCCAACGTTAAGCATTTTAAGACGCCCAGCACCACCACCTCTGTAATTTTCAAGGCACCACTGTTTATTTCCCCACGTTCTCTAGCTTCCATATCCGTCTCCACAGTAAAGACTGATGGAAAATACTCAGTTAGTATCTCCACCGTCCCCTGTGGTTCCACACATAGGTGGCCTTACTGATCTTTAAGGGGCTCTATTCTCTCCCTAGTTACCCATTTGTCCTTAATCTATTTATAGAATCCCTTTGGATTCTCCTTAACCCTTTTTGCCAAAGTTATCTGATGTCCCCTTTCTGCCCTCCTGATTTTCCTCTTAAAGTATACTCCTACTGCCTTTACTCTTCTCGGGATTCACTCGATCCCTGTTGTCTGTACCCGACATATGCTTCCTCCTTTCTATTGATCAATTTCTCTAGTCATCCAGCATTCCCTGCACCGACCAGCCTTACCCTTCACCCAGACAGGAACGTACTGTCCCTGGACTCTCATTATCTCATTTTTGAAGGCTTTCCAGTCGCCCCTTTACCTGTGAACACCTTTGAAAGTTTTTGACTAAAACTGTCAAAATTGGACTCCTTCCAATTGAGAACTTTAACTTTTAGATCCGGTCTATCCTTTTCCATCACTACTTTAAAACTAATAGAATTACAGTCACTGGCCCCAAAGTGCTCCCCCACTGACACCTCAGTCTCCTGCCCTGCCTTATTTCCCAGCAGTAGGTCAAGTTTTGCACCTTCTCTAGTAGGTACATCCACAGACTGAATCAGAAAAATTTCTTGTACACACTTAACAAATTCCTCTCCATCCAAACCCTTAACAGTATTTGACTGGATAGCACGCAAAACAATACTTTTCACTGTATCTTGGTACATGTGACAA